AAAACAATAAATACATATGATGTTTAATTAACGAAGTTCAAATCACTTTATTTCCACTTGAACATTTAAAAAGTAGAAGTGACACCGTAAATCATAAAGCAGCCCAGAAATGCAAAGGGCATGTGGAGTTCCTACAGGCAAGCAAAGCACAACTACCTAGAGGTCAGATCTGTCTCTGAGCATTGGGCTCAGTGCTTGCTTAAAGAGTGGCTGAACATGAAGTGAAGAGGTGACAGCTGGTCAGGATGTGGGTAAGCAGTCAAGGCCTATTTCACTGCAGTCTCCACATCTGAATGGTGGGGTAAGGAGTCATGCTCCTGGTACAACCAGGCCCAAGAGTCTCAGGCAATTCCAGCTTTGCAGAAAACACTGCTCTGAAACTCAGCTGTGAGTTTCTAAATAAAATAAATACACACAGACACACGAAAGGTTAGAGTACAAGCAAGTTCCTGGCAAAATTTAATGTGCAAGAAATCATTAGCATCACATATAAGGAGTTAAATAGGGATAATTTCTTTGACATTCCAGTTGTATCTTCTCATTTGATTATAATGGTTACCCACGACTTTCTCTAGATTAAATCAGCAGTAGTCAACTCACGCATATCAAATGTAAATAATAAGTCTTATCCTGCCTTTTTTCTCTGCAACTAACTCCTCTTAGCCCAGAGGGAATTTTCCAATTCAACATCAAAGACTTGATCAAACATTTGGTGTAGGAGCTTTGAAAGAATGACTGTAATTTTATTTTATATATACATGCTAGATAAAAAATAAACAAAAACTTCCTTTGGGTGCTGAAAGTTTGCAGTCTAATCTTTAAAAGGCAAAAAGTATTGGGAAAATAATTAATCACTTCAGAGTTCATCAACAAATTAAGTCTCATGTTTCCAAATTTCACTTCAGTTAATCTCTGTGATCACTAATTATCTGGTAGTTGCCCACCATTCTAAAGATTTGTCAAACCCAAAGGTTGCATTCTTTTTTTCTTCTGTTTTTACTTTTAATTTAGTTTCATTATAATACTATTCACAATAGCAAAGACACAGAATCAACATAAATGCCTAACAAGGTTGTATTTTCACAGTTCTAAATTTATTTTTTGAATTTAATATTAAGAAAGAATAGCACTTAGAAAGTATGAATTTACAGAGAGGAAAAAAATAAGGGAAACGTTTAAAGTATTTTACAAGGCATCTGTTTGATCTAAAACTATTATGTATGTTTTCTAAACTGATAGTTTATCATAGAGTCCTAAGTAGTGTTTATACTTACAACATGAACAAGGTGGTCAAAGAAGTAGATTTGGCCATTTCCAGTTTGGCTGGTGAATCAATACACTGTCTACCATACTGAAGCTTCCATGACAAAAGTAAATGAGAGGTAAGAAGGACATAGCTTGAGTTTCCCATAGTAGCTGTGGTCAAGACTAGCTAGGGAGTAATTTGGCCACTACAGTTCACAAAAATTAGCATAGAGACACATGACAAAGATTCTGCCTTTTGAAAGTCCAATTCCTGGCCAGGTACCACGGTAGCTCACGCTTGTAATCCCAGCACTTTGGGAGGCTGAGGTGGGTGGATCACAAGGTCAGGCCTTCAAAACCAGTTTGGCCAATATAGTGAAACCACGTCTCTACTAAAAATAAAAAAAAATAGCTGGGCATGGTGGTGGGGGCCTGTAATCCCAGCTACTCGGGAGGCTGAGGTAGGAGAATTGCTTGAACCTAGGAGGTGGAGGTTGCGGTGAGTGGATATCGTGCCACTGCACTCCAGCCCAGGAAACAGTGCAAGACTCCAACTTAAAAAACAAAAAAAGAAATAAAGTCCAATTCCTTTGACATGTTTTTCTGCTTCTTACAAGTCCATTGCTTCTACCCACCACCAGTGAAAACACACGCTTTGGGCGAAGTGGAAAGTGTGGTGTACTAGATAGAAAGCAGGAACTCTGCAGTCCTTAAGCAAATCACTTAAATTCTTTGGCTTGTCATCTATGAAATGAAGTATTATTATGTAATTTTCCTGTTTGAAACCAGGAGGAAGCTCAGACTTTTTTGTCCTAGGCCACCCATTCAATATCCTGTCCTGGGACTTTCTATGCATAAATAGTGATGGCTCTGTCATCCAGCAGAGCACAAGCCACAGGTATCAGGAACTACATACTGCCTAACTTTCGCAGCTGGAAAGGGGTCCAACTCTCAAGAGAGGGTTCTTGAACCTTGCGTGAGAAAGATTTGGGTCAAGTTCATAGAGAAAAGTGAAAGCAAGTTGATTAAGAAACTAAAGAAACAAAAGAATGATACTCCATGGGCAGTAGAGTGGCAGGGGATACTGAATAGACTTATAGTTGTTTCTTGATTATATGCTAAACAGCAGGTGGATTATTCATCAGTTTTTCAGGAAAGGGGTGGGAAACTCCTGGAAATAAGGATTCCTCCCACTTTTAGCATGCTAATGAATTATAATTTATATATAATGAGCAATGGGGATGACCAGAGGTCACTTTCATTGCCATCTAGGGTTTGGTGGGCTTTGGTTGGCTTCTTTACTACAGCCTCTTTATCAGCAAGGTCTTTGTGACCTGTATCTTGTGCTGACCTCCTGTCTCATCCTGCGACTAAGAATGCCTTAACCTCCTGGCAATGGAGTCGCTCTGGTTCTAACGTCTCTGACATTTCTATTCTTAGAAATAGAAGTCCATGGGATATTTCTATACTTCCGAATTTCACTTTTGGAAACTAACAAATAAAATATTAAAGAAATACCATAAAAGGCCAAAGATAGAAATCCATCTGATGTACATATTTGTTTGTCAAGGATGTCTGTTACAAGATGGCTTCCATAGCACCATTTTCAAAGCTGGCTAATGCCGATCTAAAGAGCTTCAGATGCTTGTCTCCAAACAGCTAAAAGAGGCAGCACAAGTTCTAACAGCTCTATCTAAGAAGACTTCAAGTGAAAATCTGGGATGAGGCGACAAGATAATCCAAGGCTCACTACCTTTATTCTCGATTTGAGAAGAGAGCTAAACTGCTGCCCAAGAGTGTTGTTATATCATTGTGCAGCTATAAGGATACAAACAACACAGAGTGCAAGTGGCCAAGGATCCCAGCTGCTGTGCTCTGAAATCCATCTCTACATTCTCTCAGAGGCTACGATGCTTCCCCAGGGGCTATGTTAGATATAGTGAACTCCGAATTTCTCTTCAAAGAATCAGTATGTCAGTATGTTCAGTTCTTTGTCCTCCATTTTAAAGTTTAACTTCCTTGTAGTTTCAGTTAACAACCTTTTCCCCTAGTCCTAATCAGTAGTTCACATCTGCTGCCCTGGTCCCCTGCTCTATCCTGACTCATCCTAGTCACCTGCCCCAGTCATCTGCTTTGACCTAGGTCACCCCTGGCTACCTGCTCTGACCTGTCCCATAACCATCCTTCTCGCCAAACTACCTTACCCCACCACTCCAGCTCGTGCCCCTGCTCCCCTTAAAATAGCCAACTGGAATTAGACTAGACTGTGTGCTCTAACCCTAGCCAGTAGGGGAACGACACAGCAGTCGGGGCTACCTCCATCAGGAATAAGAGCCCCTTCCCCTCCCTTGTCCAGGTGTGCACTCACCATTGTTCCATCTGTGAGCTGCACCCTTTTATAGAAGCAAATTGCCTTGCTGAGGAAATTTGTATTTGGGTGCTACTTCTGTTACGCACTGAAAATTTACATATAACAGCTACTACTGAAGCACAGCAGGAATATAAAGGCAGGCCTCTAGGATGGCTGACTTTGCTAGAGGACTTCCTGATGCCTTTGTTACCTCTGATTGCAGAGCAATCTAGTTCACGTCCACCAAGTCTCTCTTTTCACTTTGAATGAGACTTTAATCAGTGGTCTAACAGTTCCTCTGTTTGTTTGTTTTTTCCTAGCTCTTCCCTATTTTCTTTTATGCAGGCATTTTCTCTAAAAGTAAGCTTGCAATTTTAGTTCCATCTTGACATCTGCCTCTCAGAGGTCCAGACTAACATTCATTCATGTATTTGTCCACTCATTAATTCACTCAAGAAATATTTCATGAGTGCTTAGAATGTTCCTGGAACTTTGCTGCAGGCACTGGGGAGAATGGTGAACAAGGCTGAGAAGGCACTTATATTGATAACACTCTTCTGCTCAAAGCGTCACAACTGCGTCCCCTTTTTTAGCACTTACTGTATGCTGGGCACTGAACTAACTAAGATCACTCCACATGCCACATCTCATTTCTTCTTCACAACAACCTTGAAAGAAGGCACTATTATTCTTGTTTCATAGATAAGAAAACTGAGACCTAGAGAGATTATGTTGTGACGGGCTTCTCTGACAGGGCCAACTTTTTTACTCCAAAACTCATGCATTTAACCATTAGGTTATGATGTACCTACTCCATTTGGATGTATCTGCTCCATTTGGAAAGTCTTATTCCAAGTGAAAAGAGAGGTTTGGTGGAAGTATACTAGTTTGCTGTGCAGACTGAGGTAGCAAAGGCATCAGGAAGTCCTCCAGCAAAGTCAGCCATCCTACAGGCCTGCCTCTGTATTCCTGCTCTGAGCACTTTTATTTTCTGGTAATGATTGCACATGGCATAGCTGATTTTCCAAAGTCTGGCTTCATTTAAACGTATAAGGGTTGGGAGAACCATTTACAGAACAGGGAAACACAGAGCATTCAGAGTTTACATGATTCCAAAGTCAGGTTAATGACAACATTGTTTAACCCACCCAGAAGAGGTCCCTCACCAGGTGTGAGTTTCCAACTCATCCTCATAATTGCAAAGAAGATAGAAAGGACAGAAAAATCCTTGGCTTCTCTACTTTTCATCCTGGTCATTGCCCAGCCCTGGTAAACCGATAGCACGGAGCTGCATACACACACCCAGAGCTTCTCTCAGAGGCCAGATAGGCCCACTGCAAAGTCAGCCACAGCAACCAGTGCAGCAGCTGTGAGCATCCTTCTGAAAACCAATGCAAATACATACCATGATATCCGAGGTCAGATGTGGCATCTTCTACAACTGATTCAAGTTTGTTGAGGTCCAGGGAAGGAATAGGCTGAGATTTAGGCAGGTTCTCTAAAGTCGGTTCATCAGGTTCCTTGTGGAAGGTAATTAACAATTCATGAAATGTTGATAGAAGGAAACAGCACTACCGCAAATGAAAGAAGTATTCTTATTTTGAAGACTATTTGGAAACAAGTCTACCTAATCCTACTAATTAAACATTTTCAAACTTCAGTAGGTAACTTGGGGTAAGAGAAACAGCCCTGAATCAATGAGACAGGTGACCTTGCACAGAGCATTTAACCTTCACGGGCTTCAGTTTCAGGATCATGACTAGGTAAGCCAAGTGGGATGCCCAAGGCACCAACTCAAGGCACTCACCCCATGGACAACTGAGGGGGCCTCCTTCAATTTGGCACCTAGGATATTCCACTCACTACACCCTACTCCAGCTCTGCTGTTTTTGCATCTCAAAATTAAAGGTGTTAGCTTTACAAGAGCTCCTCTCTAGCTTTAAAGGTCTGCGAGTCTATGAATTCCAATTTCCCTAAAGAAAAAGATCTAAGAGACCACTTGATGAAAGAATACACACTTCAAAAAAATTAAAGGTTTAGCCAAAATCAATAAATCACTTCATCTTTTTCCCTTCGTTTTGTGTGTGTGTGTGTGTGTGTGTGTGTGTGTGTGTGTGTGTGTATTTGTGTTTTAACCCGGAGCTGGTGCTGAGGTGATCTATTTTTCTGGATAAATGGTTTTCATGGGAAACTACTCCAAGAGTGTCTTTTTAATAAAAGAAAATTTAAAAGAAAGTTCAAACTAATCTTAATTGAATAAGTAAAATGAAGCCATACCACACTGCAGTGCAGTATTTGTGAGAATATCATCATAAAGTATTTTTCAGAAGTCAGTTTTCTGTGCTGTATAATTGTTTCAGGAGGTAAAATTGGTTCCAATTTCAAAGGATCACTGAGAGCACACAGAGAACTTTATGAATAAAGAACAGAGAGTACATGAAATACGTTCTTTAAGTGTACTTCAGCAATTATTTGAAAATAGGTATGCATTTGGAATATCAATTAACTTTGATTTGCTGAGGTTCTCTTTAAAGGGAAAGATAGAATTGTTACAACTGCTTCTCTTAGAAAGAGAAGGACATGGTCTGATCTCTGGTGCCTATTACCACTCCAGGTATGGAGACCTGATCTACTATGTACTTTTCACAGAGACCTAACTTTAGCACCAGCACAGCTGTAGATGCTACAGGATCAAAGACAGACCTGGCCTGTCTTACATATTATGGTATCTGTTTTAAGCTGTCATGCTTCAGAGAAACAGTGCCTAACATGATTCCACAGTCAATGGTGCTTCAAGATTTCAAAGCCCAAATTCAGTCAAGCAGAAAATGCTTGCCAAAATAAAAGGCCATGTCAGCTAGGGTCTGAAAAACAAAGGAAGCTACTCTCCTACATGCCTCAAATAATTTTTATAACATGTTTAAGAGGTGACCTAGAACCCATTCTCTCCCATAACTCTGATTCGCTTCTGTAAGTGCTTTTGAAATATAAAGTAGCTTGCTTCCGTCAGGCAAGAGAGAAAAAAGAAGGAATACAGAACAGAGTCACAATGAGATTAATGAGAAATTAAATCATAAACATGTATATGAACAACGGGAAGGAAAACATTCAAAGATGGGAACATTTTCCTCTTTCTCTTCTTATCACATTTTTCTTTAGCCTCTTGCATCTGATTAATCTAACTTCTTTCCTATATTTATTTCATCTTTTTCAGCTCAGTGAAGCTTTTTCCTGCTACATTTAACACTTTTCATGCTCCTCTACAAAGTGTTCAGCTTCCCATTTTCTTTCCCCTTTGTTCTCTGGAAATCATTAAACCTGCCTCACTTTTGAGCTTGTGCGTATGATTAAACTTGCCTCGTCCCTGCCTTGCCATCTCTCTTCATCCTCCTCCTGGGGTGAACAAGAAAATCTTCCCTCAGATTGCTCCTCCTTTTCTACCATTCCTATTAAATGTGTTTTTTCCTAAAGAGATTATGACAAGGTCTGTTCAGCAGTGGTTTTCCAAGTCTTCCTTCATCTGAAGGTGAAGTGCTGATTTCGGGAGGCCCATTTTCTATTCATTATTAATCAGAGTGTACATAGGAATCAGACCATCAGCACTGAAATTAGCAGAAGGCTTATAAGAAATGCAACATCTCAGGCTGCACCCTGGACTAATCAAATCAGAGTCTACATCTTAACAAGATTCATAGGTGATCCAGGTGCATTTCAAGTTTGAGAATTCAATAAGCCATAAGAATTTGGAGGAGGGTCCATTGATTGTGGACCCAAGTGGGCTGAGAAGGTTTTCCTGAACACAGTTTAAAGAGAGCTGGGATGCTGACCATATGCCAGAGGGAGATGGCTGATGTGACTGCACAAAACAGGGCAGGATGCCTGGGGGTGCTGAGCCACCCAGGCTGTGGGCCCGAACCAGCTGGCAAGAGGACAGTGTTCGAGCAGAACAGATTCAACAGCCATCTATCTGCCTGGAGCATTTCTGCCCCCATCAATATATAAACATAGGAATCATGCTTCTGGAAAGCTCAGGGCCAAAGACAGTGGTGGCACTAAACCTCAGAATGAACCACAGTCTTTGGCCAGAACAGCATCAGCATCTGTCGCTTCTCCTCCTGCTCCCTTTGCTCCTTGCTGAAGGAAAGGGGATGAAACTGGGAAGTCACTGAGAAAGTCACGAGTTGGGAATTCATAGGATCCTTGTGAAATCCTCTCTTTCTTCACTGACTTGGGCCAAGATCAGAACTCTGTGTCTAGCTCCCATGTTCTGTGAAATAATATACAGATAACAACATTTCTTGGGATTTTGTCTGCCATATGGTCTCAGGCTTATCCTTATTTACTTCAGGACCTCAAAAGGACCTTGATTTATAAGAGGAAGGCAAGACCTCATGCAACGTAGTAATAACACCAATAATAATACTGTCCAATAAAAAAGAACACAAACAGGGTGATCTTGAAGGGTCAAAAAAGAAAAGCAAAAAAGTTAAGCAAATTAACAGGCACTATTATTTAAGCTCATACTTGAAACTAAATTTCTTTTTTGCCATATAGTAGCCTCAAGAATGAAGTCACTTAGATTTTATAAAACAAAAGAATACCATGCCTCTACTTCTCAATTTTAAATCTTAGGGGGAAAATCCCTTAGAATCAGGGATCCCTGAGCATTCTACGTCCTCATTTCTATAGCTGAATAAGCAAGTAGTTTACACGTTAACAAACTCAGAATCCTTATAATTTTGTCAGCCTTCTTGTCAGGATCTGTGGGAATGTGCAGTTCTCAGCACTGTGGGGACAAAGCCGACTGAACCAGAGAAAAAGACTCCCCTTCATGGGCTATCATTTGCAGGGCCTAGAAGCATGTGGGAAGCTGAAGAAAGGCACCCAGTTTTCAGAGGGGGCTTGAGCACTTCCACGGTAGTTGCCTCAAGATCCTTCTCCACCTAGGGATCCAGCCCTATTGTTGACCCCATGGCCCTTTAGCCAGTAAGTCCTTCACTCACCAAGTTCCCTGAGCAGGAAAGAAACCATCTCCCAAGTCTCTGGAGCCTGCAACAGACCCCACAGGGAGGCTTCACTTAAATGGAATGGCAGATGGGTGGGGAAAGGGAGATGGAATTGGGTACTTATCATCAGCATCCCACATTGTCTGCTAACTGGTCCATCAAAGAGAGGAAGATTCCTGAGGTCAGAGGAAACTAGGCCTCTTATTGCTCCCAACTTGGGATTTTTAGAACCCCAAAGCACCCAGAACCCCTAAATAATTGAGAAAGATGCATCACTGGCAGCTCTCCCCCTGAAAGTGGAGCCCTGTCTGGCTGAGGGTGAGCTCTCCTACATGCCCCAGGGTCTGGAGCCCTCCGATAACCAAGCTACAAAAGAATTAGCATTCCTGGGGCTTGGGGGATTGTCCCCACAGCCTCGGGGGCTTGGCGATTCCTGCTAAAGGAGAGAATCTCTCACATGCAGGGATCTCCAATTGACAAATAACCAGAATTTGAGACAGTAGAAGTTCTCCACAGAAATGACTTCATCCCAAGTTGCTTTTACCTGAAGAGCCATGGTGTTGGTATTGATGTCTATTGCCCACATTTGATGCTGTAAAGACCACCTTATTAATCAGAGCCTACCCATGGCCTGTGGAGATACTGTCAACCATCAAAGAAAATGGTGTTTGCTATTTACAGATTTGGAATGCCGAGGACATGAATTTGGGGTCATTTCACATGAATCTACAACTCTATTCATTATTGAACATCTATGGCAGTTCAAGTTTGAATGAAGTTATTACCATAATGTACAACAAAATGGGTAGGAGACAAAATAAAAAGGAAAAGAAGAAAAAAACAAGACAAAGAGAATAATGTATTAAAGAGGTAAAGCAACCATAGCCTGGGTGGAATTAAAAATTAGATACACACATTTGTTCTGTCAGTTAATCATTTTAACCCATCAATTATGCATTCAGTGCCAATTCAGTTGTCTTACACAGAGTAGGCACTTGATTTTTATTAAACCGATCAATTGATCCACCTCTGGCTACAGCCGCTTTGAATTGTTGTCACCAACTGTTGACCTACATTCTAGAATCCTTTCTAGAATGTAGATTAATCTAGATGTTCTTATTTTCTCCATTGTCCCTTTTCCCACCCAATCATCGCCATGAATATGAAGCAAGAAAAATTTTTGTGTAAAATTTAAAGTAAGAGGGTACTTACATGGAGTACATCAACACTCAGCTGCTGAAAGTTCCGAGATCTCAATTCTTGCATTCGTTTGTTATTTTCTTCATATTTTTCTTCCACAATCTTTCTGTAAGTTTAAAGTGAATGTAGAAAAATAACTGAATTGCTAAAGCCATATCTATATTTTACAGATGAGTGTGATCCTTATTTCAACAGGCAGACTGGGGGATTGGAAAACCAGGCCATCAGGTCTCTCCCTCATCACGGTGAATGCAGTGAAGTGCCCGGCTGATTCTCTTTAAAGCACACAGTATGCTTTGGTTCCTTATTCCCCCTTACAAATCCCAAAATGCAGCAGCAGGAGAAAGCAGTGCTCATCTCTGTGCGTTCTCCGAGTGCAATGACAGGGCTGTGTGTTCCCAGTGCCTAGCATGTGCCTAACACACACTAATGACACAAAAACTGCTTTCAGGAGGAACAAACCCATAAAAAGTAAAAACAGAGCTACATATAAAAGAATTTGTGAGGAAATACATGGGAGTCACTGTGCAGGGGAATTTTTCTAGACACGTTTACTTTGTTTTCTCTATTACAGGAGAGTTGAGTTTAAGAGACCTGCTACTAAACTGGAAGAAAGATTTGACTTCCTATTATCAACTTGTGGGCTAACTTACACTCAGGTTTTCCGAAAAGTCACTGAACACCCTTCTAGTCAAACTCTCTTATCTCTAAAATGAGTACGTTATAATTCTTCTGACAATAGTCATTTTCTAGCTAAAACACCTGATCCCCCTTGATTCTAGAATCAACAATTAGAAACAATTCCAATACAATTTATTCACCAAATCAAGGCCAAACTGTATTTAAAACCATTACCTTCAAACAAAAAACTGTTAGTATGTCATGTGAAAGGTATGTGATTTATTTGAATATAAAACTGTTTGAATCTAAATGATATTTTGTAATCTGCACATAAAGTATTAAATTTGTCTTTTTAATCTGTTCCTATCAGAAATTTAATTTTCCTTTTACCCTCAGTCAGTGACACAAATCATGTTATCTTGGAAATATCACTACTGCTAAGGTATTAGAAACAGATTTGGGGCAAGGAGCTGATGCAATGGCTCAAGCAATTTATGTGAATATATTTTTCCAGTAAAACCCACACTCAATGTCATAGTGGTTTGCAGAAGCCAACTTGTATTGGCTCCCAAGAGCAGATTGTGTACATATCTTCCCAACTGAACACTATATGATATCATATTGGTAACTTGATACTGGCCATGGTAGAAGTATTTATACCAGAGAAATCAGCAAACAAATTAGCAGCCCCCTTCAGATCCAGAGCTGGTTGTTAAATATTTACCAACACACCACTGCCCACAAAGTACTTTCATAGAAATCTTTTTCTACCCATTTATTAAAGAAAGTACATGTTAAGGGAAAATAGACTCATAGATTCGTACTTGGCTTATCATGATATTCATTCTAAGTACAAAGACACCTCTAAATCATTTTTCAGATAAACTAACAAGGTAACAAAATGAATAGATTTGTTTTCAGGTTTTTTCTGTCTCTCTAGTTCTTGACTTGGGGCTCCTAAGCTGCCAAAACATTGGCAGAGGAAGAAAAACGAAGAAAAATTAGGAAGTCTGATAACCTACCAACAGATAAATCAGTCTTTCAGAAATTGAGGGTCTAGGGCTCTTTGAAATTCTATTTTTATACATGTATTTTTTCAGCTTTATTAAAATTTAATTGACAAAACCATTTAGATTTATATGTACTATGTGATGTTTTCATACATGTTTTCATACATTGTGGGATGATTAAATCAAGCTCTACTCTGTTAGCAATTTTCAAAAATACAAAACATGGTTATTAATTACAGTCACCATGCTGTACAATAGGTCTCCAGAACTTATTTCTCCTGTCTGACTGAAACTTTTTACCCTTTGACCAATATTTCCCCATTCATGGCCCCCTGTCCCTAGTAACCACCATTCTACTCTCTTCTTTCGTGAATTCAACGTTTTAAGATTCCATATGTAAGTGATATCATGAAGTATCTGTCTTTCTATGCCTGGCTTATGTCTCTTAACATAATGTCCTCCAGGTTCAGCCATGTTGTTGCAATTGATAGGATTACCATCTTTTTAAGGCTAAATAGTACTCCACTTATTTTATTTATCCAGCATACCACATTTTATTTATCCCCTTATCTGTTGATGGATATGTAGGTTAATTCCATGTCTCGGCTACTGTGAATAATTCTGCAATGAATATTGGAGTGTAAGTATCTTTTCAACATACTGATTTCATTTTCTTTGGATATAAATCCAATATAGGATTGCTGGATCATATGGTAGTTCTATTTTTAATTTTTAGAGGAATCATCATGCAATTTTTTCATACTGGCTGTACTGATTTACATTCTCACCACTCCTGTACAAGGGTTCCCTTTTCTGTACATCCTGGCGAACACTTGAAATTTCACTTTTTCATGTAAATACTCTAATTACTAGTGATATTTCCCGCCAGCAGCACTGCCCTGAGCGTAGACTTTTCTAAATGCTTCACTTGACAGAAAAGAGCTATGTTTCCAGTCTGCTTTTTCCAAAAGCTAATGATTTCCTGCCAACAAAGTCTCCTTCCTATAAATAAGTGAGGTACCCTGGTAGAAGGCACACAGCAAGAACCTAGGGAATCCGGGTAAAACAGCGACGCCTCCTTTTCATCCTCCTGCTGGGGTATGTACAGAAGCTGTCAACAACAATGAGGTTTCATTTGGAAACTGGCTCTATTTTCATCATTAATAACCTCCCAAATAGTTCATCTTTCCCTTCACCCAAGACTGAAAGCCTGATATTAATAGCACCTGACATTCAATCTGTGGCTTAATATTCATCTTGGAGTGAATGAACAAATGAATAAACACATAAATACATAACCGTATGCACTGATGTTTCTTGTTTTGGTCTTTGCTTTTCTTTGTAAATTCCCTGAGAGCCCTGAGAAGTAGTCCAGGGCGTGAGTGCCTAAAAGGCAGGCGCTTACTTCAGCTTCCTGGCTTCCCCATCAGCCGCCTGGAGCTTCCTCAGCCGCATCCTTTCTCTTGGTGTCATTTTCTGTACTTCTGACAGCGCCCTCAGAGTCTGCAGGTGGATCCTTTTTTGCCTATAAATAACAAAGATTCCCCTCATATAACCCATTCCAAATATGTTCAGAGAAATTAAACAAATATTTTATAAAAGTATCACTACACTGCTGAGAGCAAAAGCATCTTGAGACAGGCCAGGCAAAAGCTCATAAGCTTTGGGTACGTAATGAGCCGACCAGGACTACAGTTAATAAGCAGAATTTTTCAAATTGGATTTTTGTTTAAAAGCAAATTATTCACTTTCCAAACTCCTGCTCATTTCATTGCCAATGACTAGTTTTCATAATGAAAAACAAATTAGGATCTTGGCCATTAAAGAGCAAATAGCATGGCACAGTAATTCCACCCTGTGGATAAAACACACAATCTTTAGAGTTAGGCAGGGTTTCAATCCCACCTCCACCACTCATTAGCTCTGTGGCCTTTGGCAAGTAACTGAACCTCCCTGAATCTCAGTTTTCTCATCTGTAAAGAATGGGCTACGGTGACTATCATATGAGTTAACATATGCACAGTGTCTGGCACATAAAAAGTATTCCAAAATGCTAGTATTATAATACCTAAATCTTATTTTTTTATTTTTTATTTAAAGTTCAGGGTTGCATGTGCAGGTTTGCTCTATAGGTAAACCTGAGTCATAGGGGTTTGTTATACAGATTATTTTGTCACCCACATATTAAGCCTAGTACCCACTGGCTATTTTTCTTGATCCTCTCCCTCCTCCCAACCTTCATCCTCTGAAAATTCCATGTCTGTTGTTCCCCTCTATGTGTCATGTGTTCTTATCATTTAGCTCCCACTTATAAGTGAGAATATGTGTTATTTGGTTTCCTGGTCATGCGTTACTCTGCTAAGAATAAAGGCCTCTAGCTCTACGTTGCTGCAAAGGACATGATCTTGTTATTTTTATGGCTGTGTAGTATCCATGGTGTATATGTACCACATTTTCTTCATCTAGTCTACCACTGATGGGCATTTAGGTTGATGATATATGTCTTTGTTATTGTGCACAATGCCGCAATGAACATATGCATATATGCGTCTTTATGACAGAATGATTTATATGCCTTTAGGTATATATCTAGTAATGGGATTGCTGGGTCAAATGATATTTCTGTTTTTAGGTCTTTAAGGAATTGCCACAGTTTTCCACAATGGTTGAACTAATTTATACTACCAACAATGGTGTATGAATGTTCCTTTTTCTCTGCAATCTCACCAGCGTCTATTTTTTTACTTTTTTTTTTTTTTTTTTCAAGACAGAGTCTCGGTCTGTCACCAGGATGGAGTGCAGTGGTGTGATCTCAGCTCACTGCAACCTCTGCCTCCTGGGTTCAAGCGATTCTCCTGCCTCAGCCTCCCGGGTGGCTGGGACTACAGGTGCACACCACCACACCCTGCTAATTTTTGTATTTTTAGTAGAGATGGGGTTTCACCGCGTTGGCGAGGATAGTCTTGATCTCTTGACTTCATGATCTGCCATTCTGACAGGTGTGAAGGTTTCTGAAAACTTGCCCTATGAATCTGGGTGTTGCTGTATTGGGTGCATGCATATTTAGGATAGTTAGAAATTCTTGTTAAATTGAACCCTTTATCATTATGTGATGCTCTTCTTTATTTTTTTTTTTATTATTATTGGTATAAAGTCTGTTTGGTCTGAAATCAGAATAGCAACCTCTGCTTTTTCCTATTTTCCATCTGCTTGGTAGATTTTTTTCATCCCTTTACTTTGAGCCTTTGTGTGTCCTTGCATGTGAGATGGGTCTCTTGAAGACAGCCTACAGTTGGGCCTTGCTTCTTTATCCAAACTGACACTGTGCCTTTTAATTGTGGCATTTGGTCTGTTTACATTCAAGGTTAGTATTGATATCTGTGTATTTAATCCTGTCATCATGAAGTTATCTGGTTATTTTGCAGACTTGTTTGTATGGTTGTTCTTTTCTTTCCATATTTAGTGCTTCCTTCAGGAGGACTTATAAGCCAGGTCTGGTGGTAATAAATTCCCTCAGTATTTGATTGTCTGAAAAGGCTCTTATTTCTTCTTCACTTATGAAGCTTAGTTTGGCTAGATATGAAATTCTTGGTTGGAATTTCTTTTCTTTAAGAATACTGAATATTGGCCCCTAATCTCTTCTGGCTTGAAGGGTTTCAGCTGAGAGATCCACTGTTAGTTTGACCGGCTTCCCTTTGTATGTGACCTGACCTTTCTCTCCAGCTGCTTTAACATTTTTTCTTTCATTTTGACCTAGGAAAACCTGATGCTTATGTGTCCTGGGGATGATCCTGTGAAGTATATTACTGAGGTTCTCTGCATTTTCTGATTTGAGTGTTGGCCTCTTTAGCTAGGTTGGGGAAGTTCTCATGGATGATATTTCTGTGTTTCTATGTAACACATTTCTATGTTTTTCAAGTTGCTTCCACTTTCCATACCTCTTTCAGAGACACGATTTGATCTCTTTATATAATCCCATATTTCTCACAGGTTTTATTCATTCATTTTTCTCTATTCTTCCTGTGTAATTTCAGAAAACTATTCTTCAAGCTCTGAGATTCTTTCCTCAGCTAGGTTCATTCTGATACTAATACTTGAGGTTGCATTTTTTTCTTTATTTTGAGATGGAGTCTCACTCCATCATCCTGGCTGGAGTACAATGGCACTATCTCAGCTCACTGCAACCTCCACCTCCCAGGTTCAAACAATTCTCCTGCCTCAGCCTCCCTGGTAACTGGGATTACAGGCACATATCACTACACCAGGCTAAGTTTTGTATTTTTAGTAGAGATGGGTTTTCACCATGTTGGCCAGGCTGATCTTGAACTCCTGACCTCAAATGATCCACCCACCTCAGCCTTCCAAAGTGCTGGGATTACAGGTGTGAGCCACCTTGTCTGGCCTGAAATTCTTGTAGTGTGTTTTTTAGCTCAGTCAGGTCAGTTACATTCTTTTTTATACTGCTATTTTGTCTGTCAGCTCCTATATCATTTCATTATGTTTCTTAGCTTCCTTGGATTGTGTTTCAATGTGCTCCTGCATTTCAATGATCTTCATTCCTATTAATATTCAGAATCCGATTTCTGTCATTTCAGCCTTCTCAGTCAGATTCAGAACTCTTGCTAGAGAGGTGCTGTGGTCCTCTGGAGGAAAGAAGGCCATCTGGCTTTTTGAGTTCTCAAAGTTTTTGCACTCGTTCTTTCTCATCTTTGTGGGTGGAAATTCCTTCAATCTTTGAAGTTGCTATCCTTTGGATTTTCTTTCCTTTTATTCTATTTGATAACTTTGAGGGTTTGATTGTGGTATAAGGTGGCTTCAATAGAGTGGCTTTGCTTCTGGAAAATTTTAGGCAGCCAGCACTCAGATCCCAACTGCTGGACTGTGCTCTAACTCTGGGGAACTTGTAATGGGTCCCAACTCTGTTCTCTGGCTGCTCAAGATTGTCAACTCATTGCACTGGGTTGGAGGTAGAGGGGAATGTGCTCCTGGACAGCTGGTCACTACACTCTGATGGGTGATGCCAGCCAAAGCATTTTGTAGGATGGTAGCAGCAGGATCCATCCTTGTTTGTACATGCCAGCAGCAGCAGTGGCAGTGGCAGTGTGGAGGGGTGCATATTTGTCAGCTGTAGATGAGTGATAGCAGGTGTCAAGGTGCCTGTCTCCCTGTGGGCATTCACAGCAGCAGCAGAGGCAGAATGGCTCAGGGAGTCAGGGCCCTCCACCGGCAACTGTGCATGTGGTCCTGCTGGTGGCGCTGTTAGCACAGGGGTTCAGTGCTGGTGGGCATAGGTCTGCGTGCAACCTCTGTGCATGCTGACACAGGTACGGGTGGCTGCTCAGGGCACATAAGGGTCCACTGTTCTCTGTATCTAGTTTCACTCCAACAGCAGTGTTGATGCGGGGGCAGGGTGCTGGCAGGGCCAGGGCTGGCTATCTCTGTGCCTGCCAAGGCTCCCACTGCAATGGTGGTATGGCAGGGGAGGTAAGAAGGGATACAGTCCTACAAGCAGCAGTGGCAGGGCAGTGTGCATACATATGCATGCTGGCAGGACAGGAAAGTCAAAATCTGCCCGTGTATGTATGTGCCAGAAAAGCAACGTGGGGAGGTGGGTGGCTGTGGGCCTGGGGAAGCTGCAGTTAAAGGAGGAAGCAGGCCTCCCCACTGGATCTCTCCTCCAGCCAGACATTATTCGTCAGCAGTACAAGAGCTATGATGTGGACCCCCAGGGCACCCGCAGCTGCAATGCAAGCAGGCATGGCCAGGCTGGGACTCAGGAGAGGCCAGAAGATTCAGGGAAGCTCAGGTCAGACCAGCCTCCTCTGATGGACAAGATTGCCCTGCAGAGTTCAGGTCTGACAGTTCCCCTGGATCTAAAGTCTTCCATGGGAGCAGGTCAAGCCTAGGGGAATGGTCTCCCTGGGCATGCTCTGCTGCAGACACTCTCACGCCAAACCCTCTGGGCTCCACACTGGCTGCCATGGTGCCCCTACCACTTCTCTAAGCAGCTCTCTCTACCAACTCAAGTGTCCCTGGTGGTCAAGGGGTCTCCTCCAGCTGGGATTTCAGAGCTTAATACAGTAGATATTTTTGTTGCAGCATGGTGCAGTAGTTAATTGCACAGATTAATAACACCCTCTAGGTTCAAACCCTAGATCCCAAGAATACACAAGCTTTTTCCCACCTCCCAGACTGTAATGGACAATGTCTACACCCCCAGGGCCGGCACAAGGTTTAGGCGAGTGAGATACCTCAGGTGCTAAATCTATGGGGGCACCAAAAAATTCAGTAACCAAGATAATTTTCATGAGCATTATTTTTAAAAATCAAAATTAATGTCAAAAAGCTATAAAGAATACAATAACAAAACTTTAAAGACAGGATCCAACCCTGAACTTACATAATTCTACCTCACTTGCCTCGCCCTGCTGGATCCTGTCTTTAAATTTTGAATATTTTGTTACCAGGGATTTTAAGCATTAATTTGGAGTTTTAAAGTACTGCATTAAAATTTGATCTTGGTTATAAGTGTTTGGCGTCCCCTTGAAATTTTGCCACAGGGCCAAGTGCCTCACTTGCCTCATCCTGGTCCCAACAGATCCCTGTGAATACCTTTTGACTACAGCTTCACAGCCTCTTCAGTGTTTTTGATCCCAACAACTAGTATATAAACCTCTTTCAATGTATGATTAATGTAAGCATGTTTCTTTAACTGAGAGGCTAAATAATAACATTGCTAACATTTTAGCAGGTAATGACCCCAAGCTTACAAGCACTTTACATGAATTAACTTATTTAAATGCAGATCAATTCTATGAAGTAGGTACATTTATTTTTATAGTCATAGAGAGGTTAAGAAATTGGTCCAAAGTAACGTAGAGTATTACCTGGGAGCTAGAATTTTGAATTGAAAGAGTGTTATTAATCTGTGCAATTAACCACTACATCATGCTGCAGCAAAAATATCTACTATATTAAGCCTGGAATAGACGACATAGTCAATAAGATTTAGCACGAGGGAGGGGGGCAAGATGGCCGACTAGAGGCAGCCAGGTGGACAGGGATGATGGGTGCACTCCTAAAGCTCTTCAGAGGGAAGGCACATTGAAAGAACTCCAACCACATTCTCAATGGCATTTGCTTCTCTTCCTGACTTGGTTAGGGCCCAATACTATACAACACCTCTTGCACTCGACTCTTTCCTTGACAGACACTATGAGAAAATTGTAGTGACCTCTGAGGACAGTTCTAATATCTCTCTAATACCAGCCAGACAACAGACTCCAGAGGACATGCAATTTTCAGGAATATACATCTCTTATTTTGTCAGACCAGTGGATCTCCTTGAAACAGTCAGAGATCTCAAAAATAGCAGTGACTATCTGAAATCAATATTTCATAATGTAAAATACCCTCCAAACAACTGGATTCTAGAATGCCGTTAATTGTAAACAGTGTCAGTTTTATAACTGCAGGACAAAATGATAGCTAAAGCTAGTCCCGTATTTTTTAAATATCTACTACTCTCACATCTCTAGTTAATAAAATTGGAAATTTCAACCTTTCTTGAAATAGCAGATAATAAACGAAAAAAACAAGGTTATTAGGAACATGTCTAAAAATTTACCCTCTGTGGTACGTAGTGGATCTTAACTGGAAATCGTGCAAATTTCCTCAGTTTGAGAGTGAAGACGGGAAGCAAACATGGTGGAGCTGAGAAGCATTGGACTGGGTGTTGGAGGAACATATCTGTGCCAGGTCAGCCTGTTGAAGCCTTCTGTTTTCACCCCACTGTACTGCACACCGCTTGTACACCATAGTTGTACAAGACTGTCCAAGTATGCAAAAACCCAAAATATAAGAACCTAGTATTCTGGGTTCTTGCAAGTTATAGAACAAAAATTTTGAATGAGGTAGGAGAGAGAAGTGAGATCAGAAAATAGTTATAGTTCTTTGGGAAATACATTGTTTAGTTCTTTTGTGAGGGAATGTATATTTCAAGAAAGTGAATTTCGGCTTATTTTCAATTGTCCCAGGACTCCACAATGTTTTCTTTTCAGTAGACACTCTGCCAATTCACATTAAACAAACGACATGTGAAAGCCATTTATGGTTATTACAGAAGGATCATTAGCATAAGTGTTACTAAATATTTGAGATATTAACATCTCTATATCCTTGCAAGGCAACTGCAGGGCTACCCTGCAGATCTGTAAGCTGTGCAGTGGTTTAAACTTTTATGATTTCAATTTGCTACCACCTGGGGTAAAGGGCTTTGGAATCAGAAGTTCCTGAAGCTCCTTAATTTCTTGGCAAGACTTAAGTGAATTCTAGGATGCTCCATGCAGTCAGTTTAGCACTAATAGATTTTTAAAGACAAATGCATTTAACATTTACACTCGATGGGCTTTTTAAAAACAAAGCAATTACTTACATGGCATTAATTATATGAGCAGCCTCCTTCTGACAATCCAAATTCTTGTCCTCCAGAGTCATTTCTGAATATCTACACATTAGGTGCTGAAAAAAAAGATCAACAACCCTCACATACCTTAAAGGCTCCTCTTTAGGGATAAAAGGGAATAAATTACCAAGTATCTTTTGAGATTTGGGGTAATTTTGACCATGGCAGGAAGCCTGAGAACAAAGCATGCTATTTTTCCCTGAGTTACAAATATTACATGGTAGCTTTTTCCAAGAAGATCCTGCAGGGTCAGGCTCCTGCCTGTCTCTCCAGCCTCACGGTGCACTGCTTGTTCACTCCCTTTTGCCAGTCACGGGCAGGCCTCCCTTCAGCTACAGGAAGACACAAGCTTTTTCCACCCTTCCAGCCTGAGGAGGACAGTGTCTACACTCCCAGGGCTAGTGCAAGGTTGAGGCCAGTAAAATACCTCAGGTGCAAAGTCTAAAAGGGCACCAAAAAACTCAGTAACCAAGATAAACAATTTTAGTAAACATTATTTTTAAAAATCAAAATTATTGTCAATAAGAATAAAGATTACAATAGCAAAACTTTAAAGACAGGATCCAACCCTAAACTTACACAATTCTACCTCACTCGCCTCACCCTAATCCTGGCCCTGCTGGATCTTTTCTTTAAACTTTTAATATTTTGTTACCAGGGGTTTTAAGCATTAATTTCGATTTTTAAAATATTGCATTAAGTATTACTTATCAGGCAGGCACGGTAGCTCATGCCTGTAATCCCAGCACTCTGGGAGGCTGAGGCAGGCGGATCACCTGAGACCAAGAGTTCGAGACCAGCCTGACCAACATGGAGAAACCCCGTCTTTACTAAAAGTATCAAATTAGTCAGGCATGATGATGCATGCCTGTAATCCCAGCTACTTGGGAAGCTAAGGCAGGAGAATCACTTGATCCCAGGAGGTAGAGGTTGTGGTGAGCCGAGATCGCTCCATTGCACTCCAGCCTGGGCAACAAGACCAAAGAAACCCCATCTCCAAAAATATATATATATATATATATGTATAAACTTATCTTGATTATGAGTTTTTAGTGTCCCCTTAAATTTTGCCCCAGAGTCAAGGGCCTCACTTGCCTCAGCCTGGTCCCAGCAGATCCCTGTGAGTATCTTTTCATCTTTTTTTGGAATGCTCACAGCCTCTTCAGCATGCTTTTGATCCCCACAACCAGAATATGAGGCAATTTTTCAGAGGACGCCTGCAGGCTCTACTGGTGCCCACTTTGCCTGCACATAAGGAAAGCTGCAAGTACCAGGAAACTTCAGCCTGCCTCCCCTCTCCTGTCCTGCCTTCCCCATGACCGCATGGGCTTCCCTGAGAGCACATGCTTGCATAAGAACCCTCCCATCTATATCTACCTCTGAGGCACAACATAATCAGCACCTTTGTGCCAGCTATTCCCTGTGATGTGAACACTGTTTCTGAGACTCTTAACATGGCTGGTTGCTTCCCATTGGCTCACTGGTAAAGAAATGTCACCTACTCCTTTGACCACCAAAGCCCTTCCTTTCTCCCTAGTTTTACAGTATCCTGTTTTGTTCAAAGGACAAGAAATTTACCTGTTTCTTTCATTTGGGCATTCCCTGGTGTCAGCACGGTGCCCAGCAGTTAACTAATAAGTACACATCATTTATCACCTGTGCTTCCTTTGGATTTGGAACATGTCCTACTGATAAAAAGGTATGCACAGTGTTTAAGGAGGATGACCATTTTGTGGGTCCTCTTAAAGGTACATATAAAATTAGAGGAAACTTGCCTCAGGGATTTGTATTGTAAAACCCTGAGAAGTTAAAAACGAAAAACAAAATAACAAAAGCCCTCTAAAGAGGGTACCATTTGCTGCTTTCTTAATACCTGAGACATAGCCTTTGTATCAAATTTCCTAATTTACCAGAAAACAAAATAAACTTAGCTAATTATTAAAAAGTATTATAGAGATATATAATAAAGGATTGGGATTATAAATGCTCAATGAAAATCCTAGATTTTAGTATCCTTTGTTAGTATAGTCTTGTCTCTGCAGGGATATAGTTACAAAGAGTTGAGGTAAGATCTATCAACAGAGCTCCAAAGCGTGGATGTTGAGTTTTGGCAGAAAATCATAGCCCTAATTTCTCATTTTCAGTGGCACTGGGGAATGGAAGTTCACACACACCTGGTTTTGCAGAGAGATTGTCCTGACTACTATTTTTCTCAGCTTCTTTTTCATCTTTTTCCTCCCTTCTGGTTGATTCTTACTGCATCTTATCCCAAATGCACATCTTCAAGACATGGAATGTGGATATAAATGCTAATACCTGTTTTCCGAATCCCTTTCATTTTAAATACCTGTAGCTGCGCATCAATGTAAGGGATTTTTAAAATTTCGATAGCAGATGGTCTTAATGAAGGATTCTTGTTTAACATGCTGTAATGTTTAAAAAGAAAATTAGTTTTCAAATGAACTAAAACATAACTACAACTTTAAATTATTTCTGTGACAACATATTTATTTATATACCTTTCCATGATGGCATTTAGTTCTTTTGGATATCTCTCAGGGAGACAAGGTGTGTCACCTTCAACGATTTTCAAAACAATGGATAAGAAATTGGAGCCAGCAAATGCATGATTCATGCAGCACATCTCATATAAAATGCATGCCAGTGACCTGAAGACAAAGTCAAAGAATTTAAATAAGGAACAAATATCCTATTTTAAATGTTTTCATCATACAAAACCTCAGATGTGTTGGGGCACTGGCTGTGACGCACAAACATACAATCATTAGTTGACTTAAAAACTGCAGTCTCAATTTTTTTTTCCATTTAAATGTTTATCAAAAAAAACCAAAAAAGTGAAAGAATAAAGCACAAAATTAAGTCTGAATGACAGCTTTTTTACCAAAAAATAAACACACCAAGAGTTAATATGCTTGCACATAGTAAGGATTCTAAGTATTTTATCAATATAAGGATTTTTTTAATTAGCCTCTAATAAATAAAATGCAGCTAAATATTATCTTCCTAAGGCACTTTGATGATTTTATATATGCAAAATATAATTTTAATAGCCTAACCTTCCCTCTAATGTGTATCCAAGCATTTTGAAAAGGAAATTGGCATTATTTATTATTCTCTGAATATAATCCATTTGCAAGTGGAGTGGAAGAGCAGCTACTTGAAGCTCACATTAAAATGTATAATTCTCCCATGGTGAGTATGAAACAGAATATTAAAATTCTAGATAAGTCCAACACTGATTTGGATTAAACATGCAAATCAATAACCTCTAAACCAGCAGGAAAATATTTTAAATAACTCTACATCATAAAAAAGACTGAAAGGGAAATTCCTGTCTGAACTTAGTATTAAGAAATAATGGCACTTCTCCTGAATAATGAATTATTTTTATCTTATGGATATCATGAATTATGTAACTGTCCAGGTTTTTCTTTTCATGTTAGTCACTTGAAAGATGAGAAATAAACTTGTGACTGACCTTGTGTAAGTTATATTTTATGTAATTTTTAACAATGTCCTTAATATAACAAAGGATAGACATAAATAAATACATTAATAATATCATTGAACTATTTTGTGGGTGCTCATGAAAATCTGCATTTGTAAGAGAATTCTGGATATATACACTGAAAATATTTCTGTTCCAGTAAATAATAACACTAAAAATTGCCAGCTGAGCATATTGGTACTTTACGTTTTACAAAGCACTTACAATATCTCAACAGTCCCCTCATAACTTCCCAGTGAAACAGAGCCCACATAATATTTTTCCCACTTTATAGATTAAAAATTGGCTCAAAAAAGTTAAATGATTTGACCAAGTTCACACAGGTAGTAAATGGTAAAAATGACTTTTGAATTAAGGCATTTATCTTTCCAAATTCTACACTATTTCCATTTAAAAATGCCAGGAAGGAGGAGGAGATGTTAAAAGAAAGTTCATGAAATCAACTAGAATACCAATATCGATGTAAATATTAAAGATAATGAAAATTATTTGAAAATCCAAGACTATTAAATGCCATCTGGTTAGATTTCTATACCCAGAAAAAATATTCCTTCAAATTAAGATGAAATAAAGATGTTTTTAGCCAAGCAAAAACAGAGAACTCATTATCATCAGGAAAGCATTTCTTAAATCCTAGACATAGATCTTTCTAACAGAAGAAAAATGATCTCAGACAAAAACTAGGAGTACAAGAAGAAATAAAGAGCACCAAAAAAGTAATTTTGTGAATATGCATAAACGAATATTAACTCTACAAAATAAAATTAACAATATCTGTGGTGTTTAAAAATTATGTGGAATAAAAATTCATGACAAAAATAAGGCAAATGACATGAGGGAAAATACTCCAATTAAAAACTAAATTATCAGACTAGAAAAAAATGTGTATTCTGCTCACAAAACAAACTTTAAATATAGGAACACAGAAAGGTTGATAGAAAAACCATACAAACACCAAAATGGCAAGAAACACTACTAAGATGGTGGATCAATAAAGCAATCAAACCATCAGGAACATAAAACAATTCTAAATCTGTATACACCCAATAGTGTGTGTGTGTGTGTGTGAGTGAAGCAAGAGCTGACAGAATTAAAAAATAAATAAGGATAGAAAAAATCTACATGATGACAAAATTGACATAATTGACAAGTTGATGTAAATGCAACTAACAATAACAGAATTCATTTTTTTTCAAGGGCACATGGAACATTTACCAAAACTGACAATACACAGGACCATAAAGCAAGCCTCAACAGATTTTGAGGAATGAAATCTTCAAAGCCTAACCACAGTAAATTTACGCTAGACATGAATAACAGAATGATAGAGAAAATTTAAAAACTATGAAATTTCCAACTGCTTGAAAGCTAAGAAATACACCCCTAAATAATCCTTAAGTCGAACAAAAAATTAGAAAACACTTTTAATGGAATGCTAGTAAAGATACATAATATCAATACATTGAATGTGGTTAAGGTGCTTATAGTAAAATTTAAAGTACTAAATGTATATATTAGTAAAGAAAAACAGCTTAAAATTTATCATATAAGTCAACTTGAGAAGCTAAAAAAAAAAAAAAAAAAAAAAAAAAAAAAAAAAAAAAAAAAAAAAAAAAAAAAAAAAACAGCAAATCACACCAAAGAAAATTTAAGAAAATAAATTTTAAAAGAGAAGAAATTAATACAATAGAAATAAACAATAAAAACAAAATCAGTGAAGACTAATAAATTTAATAGAGCTCTAGCAAGGCTGATCAAGAAAATACGAAAAAAAAACACAGATTAAAAATAACACAAATAGAAAAAGGTACCACACTGTAGACTCCACAGATATTAGAAAGTATTAAGATGACATTATAAACATGTTTTTTCCAATAAAATTGACAAAATGGATAAAGTCAACAGTCTTTTAAAAACACAACTTACTGACACAAGAAGAAAAAGATAATCTAAATAGTTTTTAATCTATTAAACAGAAACAATTTCTTATTTAAGATAATAAAACTCAAAGCAGAATTACCATTTGACCCAGCAATTCCATTACTTGGTGTATACTCAAAGAAATATAAATCATTCTGCCATAAAGACACATGCATGCATATGTTCATTGCAGCACTATTCACAATAGCAAAGACATGGAATCAACCTCAATGCCCATCAACGGCAGACTGAATAAAGAAAACCTGGAACACATAAACTATGGAATATTATGCAGCCATAAAAAAGCATGAGATCACGTCCTTTGCAGCAACATGGATCAACATGGAGGCAAACTAACACAAGAACAGAAAACCAAATACCACATTTTCTCACTTATAAGTGGAAGCTAAACATTGACTACACGTGACGCAAAGAAGGGAACAACAAACACTGGGGCCTACTTGAGGGTAGAAGGAGAGGAGGAGGTTGAGGAACTCAAAAATAAAAAATAAAGAAGGCAGTTGCTGTAACAAACTATAAACAAATAAATAAAGGTTTAAACACAAAAAATACAGTTAACAGTAATTTATTATATATTTCAAAATAGAAGATTTGGAATGTTCCCAATATAAGGAAATGATAAATGTTTGAGACAATACATATCTCAATAACCCAGATTTGATCATTATAGATTGTTAAGTTTGTATCAAAATATCACATGTGCCTCATAAACATACACAACTATGATGCATGCATAATAATTTTAAAAATGAAGAAAAACCTACATATTATGTACTATGCTTAACACCTGGGTAATGACATAATCTGTACACCAAGCCCCTGTCATACATTACATATGTATATGTATCAAACCTGCACATGGACCCTTGAACCTAAAATAAAAGTTAAAAATAATAATTGAGATAGACAACAGAAGTATCCCCTTACCCCCTACCTCAAAAGTGAATATTATAAAGCAATCCTTATAAAGACAGGAGTTATATTTTTGTTTGCTTTGTTTTTGCCTAGCATTGTATTTTCAGCGCACCAACAGAGCATTGTGCTTACTGGTGAAATATTGAAAGTGTATTATTTTCTTCTGAAATTAGGAAGAAAATAAGAATGTCTACTATCATCACTTCTATTCGACAATGTAATGAAGGTCCTGCCCAAAGCAATAACACCAGAAAATGTAAAGTTTAAAAAAAAAAATCTATGAAGATTAGCAAGATATGAGATTGTCATTAATCATGTTAACATGATAATATACATAAAAAACTCCAAAGACTTGACAAACTGTTAGGATAAACAAGGGAACTATGCAAGACTCCTGAATATTAAACACTTCATTTCTATAAACTTGCACAAAAACACACTTAAAGTGGCCCGTGAAATACCAACCAAAATTCTAGAGAATTTTTGGCAGGAACTGACAAACAGATTCTAAAATTTATATGGAAATACAAAGGGACACAAATAGCCACAGCAATTAAACAAGAACAAATTTGGAAGTTTTGCCTGATCAAATATCAACATTTATTATAAAGTTATATCACTTATATTATAAAGTTTTATTAGCTATGAGAGTGTGGTATTGGTAAAGAAGAAAAATACATATCAACGAAACAAAATACAGTGCCAAAGAATAGATTCACCCATATTTAATCACTTGGTTAATGCAAAAATAAACTGCACTGCAAGGTACAGGAAATACGGCTTTTTCGACAAATTATGCAGGGTAAATTGCATATTCATACAGAAAAAAAAATGTACTTGGATTCCTGTCTCAGATCATATAGTCACACACACACACAAATCAATTATAGATAGATATTACTGTGAAAGAATCAAATTGAGTAGGCTTTGCAAAGAAAACAGAAGACAGAATAAATTGAGTAGGCTTTTAGAAGAAAACAGATGGGCGTGGTGGCTCATGCATATAATCCTAGAATTTTGGGAGGCTGAGGAAGGCAGATCACCTAAGAGCAGCAGTTCAAGACCAGCCTGGCCAACATGCCAAAACCCCATCTCTACTAAAAATACAAATGTTGGCCAGGTGTGATGGCAGGCACCTGTAATCCCAGCTACTTGGGAGGCTGAGGCAGGAGAATCACTTGAACCTGAGAGGCAGAGGTTGTAGTGAGCCGAGATTGTGCCACTGCACTCCAGCCTGGGGGACAGAACGAGACTCTGTCTCAAAAAATAAAAAGAAAAGAAAAC